TAATTTACTAAAAGATGAAGCCTACTCCAGATGACAAACCTAACAGCCAAGATATTCTACACACTTTCATCTCCTACATTAATACTTTGCTCTCTAGTAGTTCCAGGTAAATTGAAGAAACTGAACACAAAAATCTTACAAAGGTTTGGTTTTAAGCCCCTCAAAACCACTGTTTGGCTCTGAAAAAATATATGTATATACACACACATATAATATAGTGAAAACACTATAAATACTGTTTTCAAGTCACACTTTAATCATGCCTCAGCATGGTACAGAACTATGCAGACCATCTCACCACTCCTTGAGACACAAAATCTGCTGAGCTTTTCACATTCAGGACTCCCACCAGCTCTGTCAGCTGTAACAGAGCTCATGCCAAGGCAGTTTCCTATAATGACCATGGAGCCTGTCTTTTTTAAAGGGAAAAAACTGACAATCAGCAACTCTGCTTCCTTAGGGGAAAAAGGCATGCAAGTTCAAAAACAGAACAACAGTCATTCTTAGTTGCCAACTATTAAATTATGTTCCTAAATACCTTCATTTAGATTGTGTTTAGCTCAGTCAGGGGCCTTTGGACAAGACAGAAGTTCAAAATAACACCTGAAGTCCCATTTTCAAAAGTGATTCAAGTCTATGAATATTCTTATATCTGATGATACAAAGAGGTTTATACAAACCTTCTAATACACAAGATTATATTTGAGCATAGTTTTGCTTGAGCTGTTCTGCCTTTTACCCAAACTGTGATTTTTTAAAAACATACAGACCAATTTTCACAGCTACCCAAGTTTCACACTACCTCGTAGTGAAACTAACAGTTTAACTCTTAACCTGACATTTTTAATATGAAAAGGAAAGAGAGAAAAGGAGAGCACAAAAGTTTGACAGGGACTACTAAAATCAACTCTAAGGAACAGAATGACCAGGAAGCTCCTCAAGAGGGATTGGAATAGCAGTAACCAGGGAATCTGCAGAGGAATGAAGAGGGGGGGAAAAAGAGAAGGGAAGTTCTTTAACCTTACCTTTTTAATATATAAAACTTTATATACACATGTGTAAGTGAAATATCACAGAATCACAGAATATTTAATGTTGGAAGGGACCTCTAGAGATCATCTAGTCCAACCTTCCTGCTCAAGCAGGCACACCTACAGCATGTGGCACAGGGCGGCATCCAGGTGGGCTTTGAAGACCTCCAGAGTAGGAGACTCCACAACCTCCCTGGGCAGCCTGTTCCACTGCTCTGTCACCCTCACAGTAAAGAAGTTGCTCCTCACCTGGAGACGGAACTTCTTGTGCTTCAGCTTGTGGCCATTACCCCTCGTCCTGTCGCTGGCCACCAGTGAAAACAGCTTGTCCCCTTCCTCCCTGCATTCTCCCTTCCTGAACTTATACATATTAATCATATCCCCTCTGAGCCATCTCTTCTCCAGAGAAAACAGGCCCAGCTCACTCAGCCTCTCTTCATACGAGAGATGTTCCATTCCCTTAATCATCCGGGTTGCTCTTCTCTGGACCCTCTCAAGAAGCTCCACGTCCCTCTTATACTGGGGAGCCCAGAACTGCACACAGTACTCCAGGTGCGGCCTCACCAGAGCTGAGTAGAGGGGCAGAATCACCTCCCTTGACCTGCTGGCAACACTCCTCCTGATGCAGGCCAGGATCCCATTGGCCTTCTTGGCCACGAGGGCACACTGCTCACTCATGGTTAACTTAGTGTCAACCAGGACTCCCAGGTCCCTCTCCGTGGAGCTGCTTTCCAGCAGGCCGCCCCCTAATCTGTACTGATGCCTGGGGTTATTCCTCCCCAGGTGCAGGACCCTGCACTTGTCCTTATTCAACCTCATGAGGTTCCTCTCTGCCCAGATATGTATATATTATATGTATATATTATGTATATATTAAATGTATATATTAAATATATGTATATATTATATAAACCAAACCTATCAAAGTTAGTCAGTAACCCTGCGTTCGCTTCTTTTTGTTCAGCTAACAAATAACTCAAATACATTAAATACTTCTCTAGAGTTACAGCTGCTTGTTTGGAAGACTCTCCAAGTGACACGCGGTCCCAAACAGTGGATATTATACATAGCTGTGGAAGGAAGGGGAAAGTACTTGATAAGAGAGGCTTTCAAGCATTACATACTGTAAACATTAGGATTGCTGAAATCCAGAGATTTCATGAAGCTCTGGAAAAGATAAAGATCTAAATACCCATTTTGGCCCCTCCCTGCCTCCCCCAGCACACAAAATGCTTAGTGCTACTCAGGCCCCTTCATCCTTCATCAGCTTCCTTCTCAGACCACGCCAGGAAAGAGCTTGCTAAGCAGATTTTTTTTCCCCAAAACCAAGAATAAACCACCCATAAATTCCAATAGTTCAACTTTAGGCTTCTGGAACGGGCCAACTATTTATTAGCCTACAACTTCAGGCGTAATGCAGAAGGTACCATACCCCTAGCACACCTGCTGCTTGGCTTACCATTTACAAACTACCTGGATTTAAATTAGCCCATTAGCAGGGCCATGTTTAATGGAAGGGACTCAATTCTTACACCGACACAGCTCGGATTTGCACCTTCTCTCGAAGTCATTACTGAGAAAAATCTTACTGACCTGAGCATAGCAATTGCAAGACCTGTAACTATGGTCTTCTCTTCCCCATAGGCACAGATTTTATTTACCAACCCAAAAGGAACAATTTCTGAAGAAACAGTTGCATAGGAACCTTAAAAAGCCTTGTCATCAAGTCACCTGCCCAAGAACAGATTTTGGCTAACATTAGCCAAACCCTTTCAAGATAAACCTCAGGGCATTCTGGATTTTGTCTTCTAGAAAACACACCTATTGTAAAACTAAACAAACAAACTTAAAGGCAAAAATATTATACCAGTAAGGCTAACATACAAATGCATGTTTATCACAGTGGCGAATCTGGTCAACATTTCTTTCTTTTTCATAATTACGTAGTCTAGAGGAAGGTCATAAATAAATGTTAGCATTACTTAGTCACAAATCCAAAACAAGAGCTTACGTCATTGAGAAGAGCTAATGGTACCGCTCAGCCTTTCATTGGAAATTCATTTAAATGAAACTTCAATTGTATCTGATATTACATTACTTCATACCATGATTCAGCACCGTAAGTACCACAGCCAGATTCCTTTTTAAAGTTCACATAAACTGTTTTGATAAAGACCCAAATATATCTCCATTACAAAAAGATTAATGCTATCTTGAAAAATATTTTATTTTTAAAACATGGATTTAAATTTTTTTTTAATCTATATTAGACAAATTTCCATGTGAATCTTAACAGTGCCCCAGAATCAAGGCTTACCAGGTTGGGAAGAGTGTTTTGTGTTAGGCAACAAGGAACACTAAATCTTTCAGCCATTCTCCCTTTTTTGGGAACACAATGGGTTACAGGGCAAAGCTCCTGAATTTTTGCAAAAAGATCCAGCAAAATATCCCATGTGGTGGGAACTACCAGAACAAGTTAACAATGAAACCATCACCTACATTCCATCAGTACCACTACAGGGCACCACATCTCAGGTCAAACGCAGTGTTCACGTAGCGGAGAGGGAAGAAAAAAGCAGCTTTTTCAAAGAAGGCAAGTTCCAAAATATCTAAATACATTGGACTTAAATAAAAAGACAAGCAGAAGGAAAATAACCAAACATATTCACAAATATACACAGAAGAGATGCTGTGACAAGGAAGTAATATTCATGTTATTTTGAACAGGTTTAAGCTGTACTGTAGTTAAGTTTTTGTTTCATAACATATTCCTCGGTAGACTTTCTAAAATATTCATTTTGAAAAGTCTGTTTTGTTTCTTTTTTTGCTGTGCAGCAACTTCTACCACATTCTTAATTTACTTTGGAATATTAATGTTAAGTTACAAGGTACATTGCCCAATTTTTCTGAAGAGAAAATAAAACAGACAAGTTTTAAAAATGAACACTGATCAAAGCAATCATTGGAAGATAAACTGATCAGTCCCAACAGCTCAAGTTCTCACACTTATAGCTGTTTAAGCATTTCAGGATTTTTTGCAAAGCCCAAGAACAAGAGCCTAATATGGCATATTTCAAAAGACAGTAAAGTTATATTCAGTAACAGAGAATAAAGCAGCAGTGTTCTTCAACAAACAGGACCATTAATTCAGGCCATGCCGGCTTTGCACAGCACTTCTCTATGAAGCCTTTTATTATTATTATTTTTTTTTTTTTTTTAAATTTAAAAACTAACATCTTTCCTGACTGCCCCATGTACTTCAGGAATCTGTTTAAGAGAATTTGCTCTTTCAGTAAACATTTATGCAGGAATTAACACAGTGGGACCCCCAAATGGTTCTGATCTCTAGACTGCTCAAATATTAAAAACATGTGCATATAGTAGTAAAAGAATTCTTTATTCTTTTTAGAACTGAATGAACAAAAGAAACTAGTTGTGTTACAGACAGAGTGAGATACTGCTAATCATGCATTCCTGCAAAGTTAAAATAAAGCCCTACATAGGTATTTATATGACAGTATTCTGGATTCAAAACAGCATTCGCATAATCTATTCTTATAAAACCAAAAGAAAAAGACCAAGACCATTAGTACTTAAAGTTATATTTCTCATAAATTCTGTTCCTTTCAAATATCTTCCCTCTAGTAGTTTTGGAAAGGTACAAAAAGTTATATTCATATAGTGAACTCATATCCGTGAGAAATTATTTATGATCCAGTAACAGCCAAACATATTAAAATCAGAACGGATTGTTAGGAATAGAAAAAGAAAAAATCTTAAAGGGGATATTTGTAATATGTAGAAAGCTTTGGTATTCTGTCCTGGAAATAAAACCATGCTTGGTTACAACCAAATGCAAAAAACTGAATATCCCAATACAAGCACTAGTAGGATATCCATAAAAAGGTAACAGGTTTATATTTTTCTTCTTTTTAAAGAACTCTCCAATTTATCAGAACTTCAACTTACTTGTGCATATTTTCGACTCCTATTACGATCATGATATAGTAGGAAATTCCACTTTGTATAACAAAATGTAAGGCATACCTAAGGGGGAAGAAAAAAAAAGCAGTAATTACTCAAGACATTTTTCATTAACTTTCCATAAGCCACATTAAATATCCCTAAGCTACATATATTTCACATTAAAGTAGTAAGACATTCACCAAATTTTTAGTCCCATCAATTCTTTCCCCCCTCAAAAAGTTTCCCCATAGTTGAGTTCTCTCTAGGCTAACTTACTGTGCACAACTTCTCAATTCCCTGGTATTGAGAGCAATAATCAATAAAATATAGAAACTTGCAATTCTCCAGCTGATAATGCTGGCAATCCTTGAAATAAAGATCAGGTCTTATAGTATTTACACTTAAATTAATGCCAAGTGAAAGCAGCATCCGTGTTTTGTGGTTTACCTTCCATACTCATCTTTTTCAACCTATTTGCAGCACTTGCTGGCCATACTAGAAACATCTACTTATTTATCCAAATTACCACATGGGATGATTTCCCAGGCCATATAACTCTGTCTAACCAGTCTCCTTGCTGGAGATACTCCTGAATACTCCTGACGTACTCAGGAGCCAGTAAAAACAAATAAAAACCACCACACAATTTCATAAAGCCAGTAAAGCACTGGTGACAAGCCAGTGTCAGTGAAGAGGAAAAAGGGTTTTGTTTTCAGTAACCAGATTTTTCTTTCATTTAGGTGCTATAAACATTCACATGTGCTCAAGTGACACACTGATCTAGTTTGGGAATTTCTCCCATACCAACAGAGTCTAAAATTCAGCTACTATTCTATTTTACTCTTCTCTTTCAGCTTATTGCCCACAGTTATCTTATTTCTCTCCTCCTTCATTCATATTAAAACACTGTCAAAACTGTCCAGCAACATCTGAAGTTCCATCCAAAAGAAGTCCACAAACACTAAACTGTGAGAAAAATAATTCCTTGAATTACCTTGAATCCTGACCTTTTACAGAAGACTGGATCCCATCTGGACACACTCCTATGAATCATTACTAGCTAATGCCATTTGACACAACTACTTTAAATTCTAGTCTACACTTATCATATAAAGTGTCAGTTTAAAAAAAAAATCAGCCATATTTAAAAAAAATTGGAAACATTTTCATTTTTATAAATTGTGCCCAAATGTTGTTATTAAAAAAAACACATTTAATGATGGAACAGGCAGGTCAATCCCTGAAAATACTACTTGAGAACGTAACATTTCTATGTACCAGTAACATGATTGATCTCAGCTTCAAAATTTAATAGGAAATATACATCTAAATACAATAAAGTTAGCTATACACAAGCCGTATTCTGGGTCTTTTATACTATTTGCTACTGTCCCAAGGGAATTATCCTTTTTTTCCCCCTATACCAGACCACCATCCCAAGCATTAAAGATGACTGAAGATCACTGTTCCTAAATTTGGAAAGGACAACATGACTAATATAATCTTAAAGTGTGGCCAACTTCAAATTATTTCTCATGCTTCAGTTCTGCATGGGATTTTCTGCAACTGTTTTCTACCAACTCTGCATAAGACAACGTTTCCCCTCTCTCATGCAAACACATGTGAAAACCCAACTGAAGAATTATTGAGGGGAGGGATACCAGAAACTTGTAACTTAATAAGTTTGCTTCCTACAGGAAAAAATATTTAGATATTAAAAAGTACATATTAAATATATTAAAAAATAAATTTCCCTCTAGTTCAGTGGTATTTTACAAAAGTCAGTACAACTTGTATTCACATGTACTTAAGAGTTAGACAAACACTCTGAATTAAAAGTCAATTGGGGTTTATTGCAGGACAAACATCTTAAACCAACTTTGTAAGATGAGAGCCACTTAAGCTAATTTTGTACAGCAGTTGCAAAGATAGGAAGTCAAAAAGGAGAAGAATTAAAAAAAGCTAACTACATGCATTTCCTTTATTATCCTTACTATAATTTTCCTTTATTATCCTTACTATAATTTCAGCTGGTTTGCTATGGTTTGAACACTTTGAAGCAACAACTGCAGAACCTGTGTTTGTGGGGCTTTGTTTTGCTTTTAAAGAAACGCCTTCCCTCCAGAAGGCAGGAAAACGTTTCCAAATCCATGCACCATGGTATAAAGTTTTAAACATTTTCCATCTCAGTTACACTTCCAGACATGAGGAAGGAACAGTAAAGTTCCTCAAAACAAACCCTCGTTTCTCTCCAAACAGAAAGCCCAAGCGCACGCATCCCTCAAAAGGAAAATTAAGCTCAACTTACCATCCAAAACAAAAAAGGGCAAGGTAAAGGCCCAAGAGCGTTGCAACAACATGTCTAATAAAGGGGCTGGTTTTGCTCGAGTGCAGGTACGTTCGAAACCAAACAGCCGCAAGCAAGGCAAACAGTTGGCACACTACAAAGTTGACCTGCATGGAGAGAAGAGACAAAGTCACCTCATACAATCCCGCGTTAACAATTCCCTAGCAGAGATATCCAGGTATTTTCAGTGTTTCTGGTGCTGCTGCCGCTCACGCTCATGGCGTCGCTTGGAAAGGCCTCCTCCTGAGCACCACTTCCCTCCCAAGAGGCAGGGCCCATGGCCCTAGAGGAGCAAAGAGACGAGACACAGATTCACCACAATCCTAGAGAGACAGTCTGAGCCTGAATTGAGGAAAAAAGTTAGCATTTTTATCTATTTTCCTGGGAATTTTACATCTCCCAAGTCATTTATCAACCACGGAATCAAGCTCTCCGAGCGATATGAAGGCCTGCATTGGGGGAACTCTGTTTTGTTTGGCTTTCAAACGAGCCTCAGCGGGAAACGCACACGAGCTGTACAAATCATGAGGTAAAGAGCAGACCAAGAGCAGGGCTGCACATGGGGCTGTGTCCTGGGCATCCACAGGGGGCCACTTCCAAGTTCTCCCTCCCTTCGGGCCCTTCATTCTAGAATACAACAAATCACTTGAGTATTAAATAAAGGCATCAGGGTGCTGGAAAAAAGTAGAATTTAAGAAGTTTTTTTTTTTTAAAAAAATCTGACTGGGGTCTGAAAAATATAAGGGCCTGAGTAAAGAAATAGTTTCCTCAGACATAACAACTGCTACCAGAATTGTCTTAAGCCACAAGAAGCTGGATGAATTGAAGATTCCTTTATTTAGGAAGGAACATTTCCCTCCCTAGAAAACCACTTAGTCCCATGTCTATCAGCAGCACCCCAAGCCATCCCAGGCAACAGCCCCAAGCCTTCAGATCACAAACGCTCTTGACAGAGGAAACTTGCACGTTGCTTTTCCCTACTTCATGGTCAAACTGTCCTTACCACAGTGAAGCTGCAGCCTGTTTTAAGCCCCTTCACACTACTGAAATGCAGCTTAATCCTAACATACTTAAGATACAACAGGGTTCAACCACATTATATTTTTTACATTCACAACAACAGGTCTAATACTGGTGCTTGTAGCACCACAGCAAACACCCACGGCACTTGAACTTGCTTAGTCCATTCCCTTTCTTCATGACTTTCCAGCCAGCCTTCAAGCAATAACAGATAGGGGCGGTGAGCAACATCACATACAGCAGAAATTCAGTATCACTACCTACCTACCAACTTCTTGTTGATGATGTTTAGGGTTTTATGGTTGTTTGTATTCAGTGCTAGCCAGGAAAGAGGCTCAGAACACAAGGCTGCTGTACCTAAACATGAGCAGGTTCTCTAAGCTAAATGATCACACACACACACACACTTTGCCATCCATATCCTAATGCCCACATTTACATCATGCTTTCAAACACTACCTGAGAAATCCTAAATAAGGAGATAGGCTTTCAAGGCATAACTTGACCTGCTTTATCTGCAAGTGAAAGAGGATGAGATTTAACTCCAGGCGAGTCTGCAGGTTTAGAAATGTGGAAAAGCCTCATACAAAACACGTCAAGACTAGCTCAAGTTAACAGTTCTAGTTTAATGAATCACTCAAAGAGAAACAAACTGATATTTTGAAAAACAGCAAAAAAGGAAAAAATAAAGTGATTGATTATGAATGGTATGTTCAAAACAAATATAGATGCTCATTACATAACTAAAGCTGTATATTCTGCAGAGGCGCCCTGCGTTTCTGACGCAGAGCCCTAGCACTATCCCAGACAGGAGAGGAGAGTGGGGAGGGACACAAGCACATGCTGAAAACACAGCTTCTAAGCAGACAAGTTACTTCCCGAGACGCAGACATCAAGCTAAAGGAAGAGTACACACACGAACGAGGAAATAGTGACAGATGCACAGCGAGGTAGAGGTGAAGTAACAAGGAGATGCAACAGGCTCCAAAATCCATCTGTAAGTGCTAGCACTGTGAACACGTCAGCACTGCCAAGTTTACTGGTTATGCAGAAATCACTTCTTTGGATGCTTTTGGATCGGAGCTGCCAGTTGGAGACTCATGATACCCCCTTTTTTTCAGATCATCCCTCAAAGTAACACAGCAAGATGGGGTGAAGAGGGGGACCACCACGTGCCTCTGAGCACTACTGTAGCAAATGAGCACGGCACCTCAGCCCTGTCCCACTTTCTCTACAGGAGAGGACACAAATGAAGCAAAATTTGAATTTCATAAGTCAGAATGAGCCTTTAGGTTTGAAAAAGGGGGAAAAACACCACACTCACAAAACCTGCAAACAGAATCTGTGCCAAGAGGCCCCCTCTTCATTCCCTACCTGCCTGCTGCTTTCATCAGCCCTTGTAACAGCTATTATCCAAGCAACCACATCCCAGATCCTAAAAAACAGTATCCCATTAAACACCTCACCCTGCAGCAATATGCTGAGAATAGCAATAAAGCTCAGGATACCTCACCTTTAGACCAGCACTACAAGCACCTCTTCCAGGGATGCCAGTCCCCGAGGCTGGTGCTTCAAACGCACCTACGTGACTCAAAGCCTCCTCTTGCTCTAAAGGCCTTCCTTCCAAGTGACTCAAATCACCAGCAGGCATTTTTAGCTTCTTCTCAGAAATGTTCTTCTCAGAAACACACAAACAGATGTACAGTTAGATAAATAAGACATCCATTCCATGCTGACACACACCTGACGTTCCTTCCTTGTTCCTACCAACCCAACCACACGTCTCCCCAGACAGCACTGTCATTACAAGCCTGTAAAAACACACCGGAGCTTTGAAACCTACAGCAAACCCAACCAAAAGGTTAAAGAAGCATCTGCAGAACTGAGCTACGCAAAGGCTGGGATTTCAGAACTACACAGTCTTGGCCTTTTACATTTTTGACAAAACTTTTCTCCTGTTTTACTTATTTTTTCCCTCAGCAGGATTTCTGCTTCCTTCAGCAAATAGACAGGTGCCCAAGTTTTGCCCTCATCCTGTGACCCACTAAATACCAACCACCTGCATCGTATACGGAACGCACAAACCTGAGATTACCCTGGAGACACATCTGCACCTATTTGATCATAGCATCAGAAGCCCACATTAAATAAATGCAATCTTGGCAGCACTGGGTCGTCCTATTCCTCTTCCAGAGGTGGGAAAGTGACAGTCAATGATGGAAGCTCAAAGCATGGAAATTAATTCCCACTGATTTTGTTTGCTCAGTTTCAGGCATTTAATGCCCAGCTTTTCATTCTGCAGTTTGCACCCAAAGTTTTACTGAGGGGCTTTGCGAACGCGTCAGCTCCCGTTCAGAATATTCAGGTCCAAAGTATCTCAAAAAGAAGCAGAAACTGAGTCATCATTATTTTCATTATTCTACATATTTTAAAACTTGGGCAAAATATGATGAAAATCAGTTCACTAGTGATTTGTATACTGAAGAAAGGAGGGAGATCACCTGGAAGAGTCTGTGACCACTATTGGGCCATAACAGAGTCATGTGAGTTAATCTTGATACGATTAGTGCTTCTGAATTTTAAGCACTTGGTATTGCAATGTTGGTTGAGTATATATTTTGAATATGAGAACTCTTGCTTTAAAAGAATCTATCCCATGTGCAGCCACATTTATCATTTATAATGATCCGTGGTTACTTCAGTCCAAAAGTTTCTACTACGTGGGATGTCAAGAGCATGTGCTTATTTCCACAAAGAAATAAGATGAATCCAATACCATGTGAAAGAGAAACAAGAAGAGGCTCCTAATTTCCCATCTCTGCCTCATATGGACTTAGACCAAGGGCACCCAACAGGCACAGGAACAACTGAAGATTACAACAGGCCTTGGAGCAGAGCAGAAGGTACCCACCTTGCTGGAGGATGTAAAAATGCTCCAGGTAGCAGCAAGCAGCTCTAAGGGCAGCGCTGGAACCTCTCCTGCTGCTAACACCCAGGAGCGAGGGGCATATTTCCTTGGCATTTAATATTATTTCCTTGGCAAGCCTCACATGCAGCTGCCTGAACATCTGGGAGGGAGGGACAGCCTTGCATAACTCAAAACCCTTTTATCAAACTGCAAACACATTGCATTAAGGCAAACTAAAATTCCAGGACATTTCCTGACTTGGATAGGAGCAGAACACAGACCGAGCTGATCACTCGTTCGAGTGACGTGTTTTATTCCTCAGCCCAACTGCTAACCTGCCTCCCTGGAGTCATTAGGCTGCTCATTAGAACAGCTTTTGTTTCAGAAAGCCTCAGAACATTGAATCACTTAAACCGGGAACTTCCTGCAGGCAAAATCCCGATGTGGACACATGGGATGGCAAGCTCAGCCCTGCAGAACCGTAATTTAGAATAATTATTGGTATAGGTAACAGCTGAGCTTATAGTGAGTGCAACACATAGAAGCACCGCATAACAATTCCATTACACACTGCTCTGGAGACACAGAAGGAAAAAATGATAACATAGGTTATCAACAAGGATTATTCAGCACTGAAAAATGTAGATGTGGGTTAGATTGCATTAAGACATACTAAGCAATTATAAAACTCACTGTATACTTTCTAAAAATTGATAAATTACCCATCCTATTCCAAGGGCAGTTGCATTGCCAGTGCACAGTAAGTGCAAAAAAAATAAAAGTTCTAGTAGAATTTTGAAAAGTCTATTATCTTGAGCTTTTAAATTTTTTCAGTACAGCCTATGACATACAACTTGTATTTTAAAAGCTGTTCCTTAGAAAAAGGCGTTTAAGGGATGAATTCTTTGATAAAGTAAAAGGGAAATATCATTCACTACTCAGAAGGACTTCTATCATTAAGAGACAGTTTTAGCATAACTGTTGCATTTCATAGCTAAAAATCACAAACTTCCCTACACAGACAATGCCTTTACTAAATCGTTAGAGAACTATAATAAAAATTATTCTATAGAACCAATTTTTAATATTCTACTAAACAATTTTTATCAAGTTAATATTTTAGGTCAAACTTGTCAGCTGTATTTCAACATAAAAAGCCAAGAGCCGCATCCAGTACCT